CAGAATGTCGGGCTTTGAAGGAAGGGGTTGGGGAGTGTCTCAAAGATCGTCTAATGTCTGAAAAGCCTCCCAGGCGCCATTTACCTGTGAGAACACTCTGTGGTTCAAGGCATGGCCCTGGGTCTACACTCTTCAAAACTACTCTGACTTCTTGGCTCTCCTCCCTCATGGCCGACCGACACTAACCAGTTGACAAAGACGTGCGAAGGGCCAGTGGTTTCTTCCTTTACTGAGAATGTGAAGGTCCCCTGCGTTCTGGGGAAGCCATCCCAGATCTCCCGAGAGGGCCCAGTTGCAATCCCAAGGTAACCTGGTGAGCAGGAAATCCTAAGAAGAGATGCCATCAATTGTTCCATGAGTGTTCAAAATTAATAAAACACGAAGAGCGACAGCCCCTGGTCAAACGCGCATGCTTCATCCTCACAACTTCACCATGAGAAAAATATTTGTCATCTTCCTTCTACTGATGAGAATACAAGGCAACGTAGGTTATAGCTCATTAACTCTGAGACGTACATTTTTTTCGGATGTGACTCTTCTGCAAACCAAGCGCATCTTGCAAGTGATTGTCAAACTCTGTAAAATACGGTTACTTTTTGTATATTCCTCTGTCCAGTGTTTATTAAGTGTCCGGCCCGCGCCTGGTAGTGTGCAAGTTGATGGAGACAGAACAGTGTATAAAGCATCCAAGCCCTCGCGCTCCCTAAGTTTACAGTCTAGCTGGGGAGACCACAAATCAGGAAACAAATCAACAAAAAAGCCAGCTTGTGAGAGTTGCCGTGTAGGAAACAAGCCTGGAAAGGTGACAGAGTACCATACGGGCGGTAGGGACAGGGAAGACTGGGACTTGGGGTAACTCTCCGAGGAGTGACACTGGAGCTGAGACCTCAGAGGAGCCCGTGGTCTTCCCGATGGGCTCTCGGGGGACCAGGAGGTAGGTCCCTACAGTTCTAGGGACTAGGGCCCCTGCTTGTGAGCAGCCTCAGCTGGGTCTCCTTGGAGGGCAGCCTGAGCAGCATGCCCCGTGCCCTATGGCCTCCGAGGTGCTCCCCACTCACTGCTCTACGTGGTATGCATACTTGATGAGTACACCCGAGGAGGCGCTCCAGCCCCTGGGTCCCTGCTTTAGTCCTGCGGGGTAGGGAGCAGTGCCCATCCTGGACAAGGACACCGAGGAATACCCATGCCAGGTGCCCAGGACTGGTGCAGCCCAAAACGCAGCCGATCAGGGTTGGAGACAAGGAGGCTCCTGGCGCAGACCTGCGTTTCTGTCTTCCTGTAGGGTACTTGTCTCCACTCTAGCGTACGGATCCCTTTGGTGGTGACCCAGGCAGCCCCAGGGAGACTGCTCAGCAGCACGTGTGCATTTTACAAATTTGAGCGACATAATTATTTTTAAATACGCGACCTCGGAGAAGCTCCGTTGGATTCAAAATCCACTCACCAAGAAAGAACAAGGTTACATTTGTCAATGAGTGAAAGGGAAGAATTTTAAATACCTAACCTCAACGGGTATACTTGCTTGAAGGATTGAAAACAATGATTTTGCCTTTTTTATCACCTACTGGTGTGAACGAAGTTTCTCAAGGATGAGATCATCAAGAATTTGAAGAGATCTGCATTATAAAGTCGTGGTCAGGAATGGACTATGGCCATTTCAAGCATAAAACTGGGTATAAAACATTCCGTCCACAGATACGAGCTCGATGTTTCCCATTGAAACCTTTGAAAACATTTTATTCGGGAGTTTGACACTAGTTTAATATCTTCTTTAAAACAATATTTTCACGGCGCCTGGGTGGCTCAGTCGTTAAGCGTCTGCCTTCGGCTCAGGTCATGGTCCCAGGGTCCTGGGATCGAGCCCCGCATCGGGCTCCCTGCTCCGCGGGGAGCCTGCTTCTCCCTCTCCCGCTCCCCCTGCTTGTGTTCCTGCTCTCGCTAACTCTCTGTCAAATAAATACATAAAACCTTTAAAAAATAAATAAAATGGAATATTTTCTTATAGTGATTATGGAATATATAAAAATGTATAATGAAATTTTTAATCAAAGGCTCCAAATTCCCACTACTTCCCTTCGGTGTAACCTCTGCCGCAGCAGAGAATGGGGGACGGAGACGGGGCCGTGGAGAGAGGCCGCCCAGGACAGGGCTGGGGGCCAGGAGAGAGGGGAGGAGAGGAGTCAGTGGGTCGGCCCGAGGAGCTTTTCAGAGGGAGGACCCACAGGACCACGGTGGGGAGAAAGGGAGGCTCGAGGAGGATGCCCGGGCTTTCTGGTGTGAGCAGCGGAGTAAATCACAAAGCCGTTCACTGGGTATGACTGGATGGAAAGAGTTTTGGGGAGAGGACTGGGGTCCAAAGCCCCGGGACGGATTTTCCAAAGAAGTGCAAACCGAGACTCTCTAGATAAGCGATTTTAATAGGCCTATCAACCATGTATTTGGCTCCTACCATACATGCTGAAATATCTACCCATGAAATGATGTAGAAAGTCTGGGATTAGCTTCAAAATAATTCAAGTGGGAGAGGCAGGGGAAGTGAGTAGATGAAGCCCAAGACTGGTCACGAACAGCTCCTTTTTGAAGCTAGGTAATGGGTCCATGGGGGTTCATTATACTTTCTTTCTGCTTTTGTCTTATCTTTGACAACTTCCACGGCACTGGCTGCTATCGATGCCCTGGTGAGGAGGGAGAGCAAATTAGGAAAGGCCCCTGAGTGGGGGGTGGCAGTGCTAGACCCGAGGAAGGACACGGACAAGCCCACTGCTGTCCTAGACTTCACGTTCTTTTGGGGGGAAGAGACAGACATTAAACATGTAAACAGATATGACCATTTAAATCAAGATGCTGGAGAAACAGGGTGATAGGAGTGCGCGGGGGCCGCACCGGACTAGCCAGAAACAGCCGCTCCGCCACAGCATCTGATGCCTCAGGAGCCAAGCAGATATTAATAGTGGTGCTTTTAAAATCCTTCCCATTCTACATTTTTTTACTTTTACTTATAAACAAGTCTAAATTAGTGGCTATGAGCATACTATTCTAGGGAAAGTGTTTTAACTTAAAAGCTTTTGCTCCCTTCCCCCCCCCCCTTTTTAACTCCAGATTTGGAGGCCATGATTGGCCCAAGAGTTTTAGAAGTACAGCCAATTCTGGACTGACCCCGGTGCCCCATTAGCATCCCGTTTTTTGCCCTGGCAGCTCTCCTGCCCCATCATTTGGACCCTAAAGCCCTCTTCTCTGGCCTACAGCTTTCTGTCACTCTTAGGGCTCCAGAGGACCTCCTTCCTGCCTCTCCTCCGAGTGCCACTTCCCTGTGCAAGGCAAAGCATGAGCCCCATGAGGACAGGACTGTTGCTTGTGTTGTTCACTGCTATAATCCCAGCACCCAGAATTGTGCTTGGCACACAGCTGTCACTCAATAAATATTCACTCAGTAAGAGGACATCCTGAATCCACTAGGTAAGTAACCAGACACCCATGCAGATGCTTATGGATTCCATCCTACAACCGAAATGAACTTGAGGCCCATCTTCGCAGGGATAAATAATACTTCCGTTTTATAAACGGACGGCTGAGACCAGAACTTTCACCGACAAGTCTCTCCCTTCCTTAGAAATGTTTTAAGCCAAAAATTGGAGCTATTGAAAAATCTAGCACACAGAGGGAACATTACCCACGTCACTTTGCATTTCGTGAAAATAGAATGAATTTAATTGATGTAGAACAGCTTTCCTGGATAAATCCAACAACACGTATTTTGGTTTCCTGAAAACAAAACAAAACAAAAAACCCAAGCGAAACAAAACTCTTCTTCTCCGCGGGCCGCCCAGCGTGGGCTTCTTTGCATACGTGCTTTTAGGAGAGGCTTGCAGACCGCCTGCATTCTGCACGGCCACCACCGACACTTAACATTCATTAAATCATAATGACCCAGGAGGCCTGGAGTTTTCTGCTGCTCCTGGGTCTGTGCCTTCCTTAAGTGACCTTGGACGAATCTCTTCCCCCCTCGCGTCCGATGGCCGTACATCCGTTTCAGGCCACTGTTCACGACCGAGATGCTCTACAAAAGCTTCAGGTTGCGCCCCGCAGGGAGTGCCCTCCGCCGTCCGCCGGCTGTCCGCAGGACACGCGTCCTGGAAGCCTGCGCACGGTGGTGGAGTGTCGGCAGGACCCTCCCGGGCCGGCCCAGGTACCCGAGGGCCACCGGAGCCCC